AAAATACATTGTTTGTTTACATGAAATTCGAACACGCGCTGCGCGACGACTACCGCGCTTTAAGCCACGAATTATCAGGAAATTCTGATTAATATTTTTTTTATTAAACAATGCTTTAAAATGGCTTTCTTTAGAAATTGTTCTAACAGTATCTGTTTTTCTGAATTTCCGCACTTGCAAAAAAATTAAAAAAAAAAAAAAACACCGAAAAGTCGGTGACAAGTGCCCAAAGTATGTAATAAGTATGTGACACTTTGGAAACACAAAATTGTGATAAATTTGTCACCCATATTTATGAGTAGTAGTCTGTGATAGCCTGACGAGTAGTGTATTGTAATCGAAGAAACGAAACGAAACGAAACGAAACGAAACGAAACGAAACGAAACGAAACGAAACGAAACGAAACGAAACGAAACGGGGTGACACACATAATAAAAACTAAACTGTAATCAAAGAAAATGAGTTTTATACGCACAATATTTACAAAATATTTCACTGTGTTGGGTTTGGAGCACCGCGGAGGGCGCAACTCACGCGACCTCGTCAGGGCTTATTGTAATCGAAGAAACGAAACGGGATAACACACATAAAGAAAATTAAACTGTAATCAGTGAAAATGGGTTTTATACGCACAATATTTACAAAATATTTGTCATTTACTAATTAAAATCCCGTTATTTTTGGCAAATGTTTTATGTAGTTACATATACATATATATTTTCTGGAAACTAATTGTGAAGTTCACGGTAGACTAAGTTAAGTCTTACTTCGAAGTTTAGTCATGTGACCTATGGTGGTTTGATCTTAATCATATAGGAGTCAGATGATCACCGAACAAGTCAACGGTGAACATTGAGTTATTCGGAAAACAAAGTTTACTTATACCGATAAAGATCTGTCTGCCATAGATCTGTACAATAATGCTAGTGAATAAAATGCCATACCTATCAGCAGTGTTGATGTCTTAGAAAATTTTCTATATTTTTAGTGGGTTCATAAAAAGGAGATGTAGTCATTAAAGTTTATTGAGATCGCTGCTAAACTGCTACTATATGCATATTATTTTACCGCCCTCAAAAAACAGATTTACAGTGAACCAACAGATTTACGTACTGCAAGAAACTTGGTAGTATGCCATTGGTTAGTGCATTTAATTTGTTTGATGCAATCATTGTGCCAACTATTTCTTATGGTAGCGATATGGGGGTACCAAAATTCGGAAATTGAGAGGGTACAGACAACATTTTGCAGATATATACGTAGCATTAATAGTTGCACAAACAATGTAGCGATGTTGAACGAATGTGGAAGGCTGCCATTATGCTGTGGTTATTTCAAGCGTTGTATCTTATATTGGTTAAAATTAAATAATAAATAGCTGGAACCCCAAAACATGTTATATCATGCTTAAACGATTAGACAAGACCGACAGACTTACTTGGGAAACCCACATAAAAATCTCCTGTTCAAATATTGTTTCGGCATTGTCTGGTTTGAAAAACAAGTTGCAGATACTGCAAATTTCTTAGGGATATTTACTCAAAGAATAAAAAAAAATTGTCAGCAAGAATGGCATG